CAAATCTTGTATAGCTTTGCAATTGGCCTTTACATTTTCAAGCTATCTTGTTTTCATTTCAACCTCAATTTTTGATTGTCTTAATATAAGGTTTGAAGGAATCACTTTGGTACTTGGCCATGCACCCTAACATAATTCTCGAAGAAATAATAACTCTATTCAAACTTTATTACTTAAATGTGACATGTGCACTTATAAGCTAACAAAAAGCAGCAATCAAACATCAATTATTCCCAAGACTTAAAGCCATTTAATTGTTTGACCTTTAATGATGATCCATACAAACACAAGTTCGAATCATTCTCCAAGGTATGGGGAACCCTCGTATTAGCAAAGTGGCTCAAAGACCTAAATTAAAAGCTTCTTTTTCTCTATGATTGAATCTCAAAAGAGGAACTCTTTCTCATGTTCTAACATGTATGGTAAAGGAAGAATGTGAAGGAAAAACATGATAGCCACCAATTTACCCTCCTAGATACTTATCTCTATATGCCTCATTGGTTGTATGGCAATGTCATAGGGTTTTGTATATAAAAGCCTTATTTTGTCACAATCCTAATTTAGAATTCCAATAATTCTAAATTAGCCCATTAATTTAATTAAACTCTTCAATTAAATCCTTCACTTATTTAGTTTTTATTCAATTAAATCTTACTTAATTGAATCTTAATTTTAATCCAACTTAGTGATGAATTTGTGTGAGCCACTAGGCTTCTAACAATTGGCAATAAATATAAATCTAAATCAAATAAGTATAATCTAATTATATTTCTAGATCACAAGTGACATTTAACAATACATTATGACCATCCAAATGTCAAAGAGTCAAAATAATCTTGATATAGCTTTTCAATGCTTAGTCTGTTAGTGTAATTCTCTCATTCCATCACATATCTCAAAAGACCAAGAGAATGGTACAACATCTATTCATGAAATTCTTTTATGTTTCTTCATGTAACTTCTAGTCAACATATATGTGTCGTAACTGTTTTGAGTACCGTTAGACGAATTTGGAAAAAGAAAAGAAATTGAGTCACCACCAATCTTTTTTTAGCTAGGTGTGATTGGTCACCTATTAAAATTTACCTCCTTAATAAATTTTAAAATTAATTAAAATTTATTAAAAAGATAAATTTTGAGTTAGCGAAAACAGTTTGAGTTTGATAATAGGTTACGCATGAGGAAGGATTAGCACCCCTATAGCATTCGTTTAAAATGGTACCAATTAATTATGTGCTATCATTTAATACTGACTAAAATGATCTTAATTTTGGTATTTAAAAATTAATTTCCTTAATTTTCTTTGAAAACCTATTTTTTATTTTTTTATCAAGCTTGAAAAATAAATAAAAACGTTATATTGAAAAATTCTTAAAAATATTCTAATACTCTGGCGATATTAAAAGAACCATCTCACCCAATGAATTTTTAAGAATCGCTACTCGAAATTTTAAAAAATCCTATCCTTGGTAGTTTATATTTATTTCTAGTATTTATTTTTGAAAAACGTAAAATATAATATCTATGAATAGCATAGAAAATAGCATTTTTTAGACTTCTTTCTAAAAAACAAGAAATATTTATCGAAAATTAATCTATATGCTCCAATACATTGGCAGCATTTTAGATAAATTTTCTTACCTAAAGATTTATAAAAAATCACTACTCGAATTTTTTTAAAATCTCATCCTCGAAGATTTTTCATTTGTTATTTTTTTAAACATTAAAAATCATGTAATAATATAGTTATCCATAAATACATTTATTTATTAAAACATGTTTGTTTATTATTCCAATTAAGGAAGATAATTAAACAATGAAAATTCTTTATATTGAAAAGATATTTCTAAATATTCCATTACTTTAGCAATTTGTAGAAAGCTTTTCTCACCTAGGGAATCCTTGGGAATCTCTACTTGGACTTCTCGAAGTCTCATCATCGAAAATTTTATTTACTTTAAAATGTGTAATAATATCATTATCTATAAACAAATTTATTTCTAAAAATGTATATTTTCATATAAAATTACTCAAATTGAGAATAATGATAAAATGGAAATCTTTGGTATTGAAAAGAGGCTTCTAAATATTTCAATACTTTTGTAATTTTTAGAAGACTTTTTCTCACCTAAGGAATTCTCGAAAATCACTACTTTGACTTTCTTAAGTCCCATTATCAAAAAATTTTATTTCATTTAAAAATATGTAATGCAAATAATCAAGTAGAATATGCATACAAAAACATATATTGATTATGCTTAAATCATCTTTACTTATCTTCCAATTATCACCAACACTTTTGAAAGGAACAAAGTAAACAAAAATTTTATTGAAAATTTTCCTAGATACCGCGATACTTTGTTGGTATTTTAAAAAAAATTTCTCACCTAAAGATTTCTTAGGAATCTCTACTCAGATTTCCTTATAATCTTATCCTCGAAAACTTTTATTCACTTTGTCCTTTCTTGCTTAATTAATTAAATTTTTTAATCTAATTTTTAAACTTTGAATACACCAATTTTATTACTAAATGAGTCGTTACACATTATTATTAACATCTATCAAAATTTTTTTAAAAAAAAAGACAAATGAAACCTTTTTTTATTGAATCTTTTTCTAAATACTCCATTACTTTAGTAGTATTTTTAGAAAAATATCCTCATCTAGACATTTTAGAGAATCACTACTTGGATTTCTCTAAAATATCATCCTCGGGAAATTTCATTTGATTTATTATTATTAATAAATGAAGAACAATTTTACATTTAAAACAAATTAAAGTGTAAAAACTAAATTGCATAATAATTAAAGTGAACATGGAAATTTAACCAAACTAACAGTGAAAGGAAAATGCATGGGATTTAAATTATACTCACATTGGAAACAACATTAGAGAAATATGAATGGTGATATAAAACATACATGAAAATAAGCCTTAATGTAAAAATGTCAGCATTTTTTCAAAACTTTGTAAAGTTGTAAACAATCCCAAATGAAGAATAAGAGGTGATTTTAAGCTAGGTGAAATAATACCATTAAAAAATAAAATGAAAACAGAAATTCCAGCTTTCCATGAGTATTCCTCATGCCAAAGACCAATTTATTCAATGCATATTTAAAAGAAAAATTAATGACTAAATCCAACTTATCATTAAACAAATCAATTGGGAAATGCTTTAACCACAACTTCCATGATGTTAAGTTGAAAATGCATATGGTATGTAAAGAAAAGTAAACCAATTCAGTCAACAATAAGTTATATAAATAAGAATACTGCAGTAGCCAAAAACAACTAAAAAATAATTGAAATCATGCCACATGAAAGAACAAAGAAAGCCAACTTGAAACCTTTTCTACTTTGGTTTGCTTCATCCCTTTCCTTTTTGGCAGCTTCCTCCCTATTCCTTTTTTTTCTTTTGCTAGCAGCTTCTTCTTCCTTTTTGGCAGCTTTTTTTTTTCTTTTTCTTTTCTCCTTCTATTTCCCCTTTTTCTCTATTCGACTAGCTTTCTCCTCTCTTTTTATTTTTTCAATAATTTCTTTCTTTTTTTTTATGTTGGCTTTTTTTTTTACCAGCCTTCCAGCCTCCCCCTATTTTTTTGTTGGCAACCCTCTTTTTTAGGGTCAGCCTAAAAAAGATTTCATTCTTAATAAATATAGACCCTCTGATAAGATTTTATCCAAGGGTCAAAGCTTGTCTTTTTATTCCTTTCAATGAACCACCTTTGGCCATTAGATTTAGATCATTAAAAGATCCAATGGTCCTCATTATTTACTGCAAAGGTGAGATTTTTATACCCTCCAAACACATGAAAAGATCATTTTACTCATAGTGCAAAGTATTCGATATTTAAGCCATTTTCTTAGAAGTCAAAGTTTCAATGCTTATTTTTAGGATTTTAAAACATCAAAAACATAAAAATATTATAAAAATGAGATATGAAAAGTTTCATGAAAATTCGAGTTCGGAAAGGTCAAATTACGAAAATACCGTTATAGGGGTATTTTGATAATTTCATATTTTTTGGGGTACTGCTATGATTTCAAATGCATTAAAAATTATAAAATATTATGAAATTAAGATTTGAAAAGTTTCACAAAATTTTGAGCTCAAGAAGGTCAAATTATGAAAATACCATTGTAAGGATATTTTGATAATTTCATATTTTTCGAGGTACTGCTATGATTTCAAATGCACCAAAAATCATGAAATATTATGAAATTAAGATATGAAAAGTTTCACAAAATTTCAAACTTGAAAAGATCAAATTATAAAAATACCTTTATAAAAGTATTTTGGTAATTTCACATTTCTTAAGGTACTGCTGTGAGTTCAAATACATCAAAAATTATGAAATATTATGAAATTAAAATCTAAAAGTTTCATGAAAATCTGAGTTTGAAAAAGTTAAATTACAAAAATACTCTTATAAGGATATTTTGGTATTGTACTTCTTCTAGTGTAATAAAAATTTTTAGTATTTTAAAAATCACTAAATTTAATTTTAAATCACATTGATTTCAATTAGACTTTGAACTTTGAAGATTAACCCCAGTTCTATTCATTTTGACAAAATTTTATTTAATTTTCGCTTGAGTTAACTTTGAAGTTTACCCATTTTATACATTCATATGAAAAAATATCATCCATATAAATCCTATGTAAAAGAATTTGATATTAATCAAACGAGTCCCGTTTTTCTTTGTTTATCAAGTTTAAATATTGATGCATTTTATGAGCTTTTTAAAGGACCTTTTTAAGGGTTTTAAATGGTTTTTATTCAATTATGTTAAAATATTTTGAACAAAATTTGATATCTGTAATATGAATTTAACAATATATATATTTCTTCTAATTCATCTTGCTTTTTACAAAGATATTTTCTAAATCTTAATAAAAAAGAACTTGAGAGATAATTTTTTACGATGAAAAATATGATTTATATAAAAAAAATCAGTATATTATTTTTATATTTAAATATTTATACTCGGAATCATTTTTATTGTAATGTTAAATACATTCTCTGCAACGCACAATTATCTGTTTTTACTTTTTCCGGGTGCACTAGGCAATTCTAGCTTACCCTAATAAATTTCTTTTACATAGAAAACGTAAGGTCTCCCTGCTCCCTCCTAGTCGTTTCGCCGTTTCCTGCCTTCAGCCTTCCTAAAGTACCTCACGACTCTTTCTTCTTCTCGTCTTCTAAATTGTTGTCTCCTAGGCTGCCACTCTTCATCATTCTTTCAGATTTAATCATTTTTCTTTTATATTTTAGATTTTGACAATGGGAAACTTTGATTTGGAGTTTGATTTGGTTTCTCTGTTTTTTTTTTTTTTTAATTTAAGTTCAGCACTCATATGCCATCTAAAATCTGTGAAGTTCGACATGGATTGTGTTTGAAATTTCCGAAGCTTGAGACCCAACGAAGGCCATTTTTCATTCAAGGTTAGTCTCGGCTACTTTGAAATTTCTGGAAACTTTTCATTTACATGGATTTAAGGTATCTAGTTCATGGATTAATAAGAGATGAAACCTTGTTCGGACACTAATATGTCTATCGTTTCCTTTCTTCTTCACTCTTTTTTTTTTGTCTAGTCTGGCTGCAGTAGAAATTTGTAAACTAAGAAATTTAATTGGCAATGGCTTTTCCTAGCTATTTCTTTTTATCATATTTTCTGTGTTTTAGGTGTTACATCTATTGAAATATATAATTGTTGTATTCGAGTAGCTTTGGTTTTCCATGGTTGTTTGAGTTTATTAGTTGTCCTGTGCACACTAGGTGTTTGATTTTTTGTCCATCTCAATTGTTGTGTTCGGGTATTGTTTATATTTTTCGGGCAGGGTTCCGGTAGAAAAAAAAAACAAATAGTACTTGTAAAATAGTTGTTTATACAAATGAAAATTATAAATTTTAATTATGATGATGTATTTTATCTTACTCAATAAGTATTAATTAACTCATGTTATGTTTAGTTTTAATTGATTGTTTATATATTATTGATTTACTCATTTTTATATTAACCTACGTATTTTGTTTTTTCTAATTTAATTTTCATTTAAATATTTTTAATTTTATATTATTGAAAGTAGAATTTACATATTGAATTATAATTATCCAATAGTTTGTAAAACATAAAGCAAAAGTTTTATTACTTACAATTAATAATTTCATTATTGCCAAGCATAAAAGAAACTCTTCATAAGTGCTTTTCATATATATATATTTTTTTTACTTTTAATCTCAGCATTCATCAATCACTTATTTTTTTTTATCATAAAACAATGGATTACAATTTCTTTTCTCCTTAATTAACCATTGCAACCTGCGGGCTCATCAGCTTATATGTACATATACATGTTTATCATTATGTATTTTGTATATAGTGATTAAAAATAAATTAATTGTAATATAATAAATAGTCTCTGTCCTTTTTTTTGCCAACAGATTTATTTTCTTTCTAATAAAAGAAGAGCAAAATAATTTGACTTGAGGAGGGAAAGTCATTTAAAATTCCACTGCTAAGCCATTTGCACCTTTCAGGCTCCAATTTTTCCCCCTCGGCCTTCTATTTTCTCTGCTGCCTTCACTCCATTTTACCTTGTTTTTATCCTTCCTCTTCTTCATCTCCCTCTCCTTCACTTTGTGGCCATCATCATTTCTCCTGTGCCATCCCTCCCTCACTTAATCTCACCTTATCTCTAACCCTCTTCCACCGTGCAGCTCAAGAAGAGATTTTGCCACCTCAAACCCATTGAACTTTTCCCCACTTTGTTCTGTAAGATGCATGTTGATTTCTGGATATTATCTCTTTTCCATTTTGTTAAGTTTTAGGTTTATTGTTTACTTTCTAATTTGTCTATATTTGAAGATCTGAGGATTGCAAATAAAAGTCAGTTTCAAATATTGATACCTCTTTTTCCAAACTTTCTCCATATGTATGAGCCTATTTTTTCTTCTTCCTGATGATATTATTTCTAACTAAAATTTATTTTGTTCTATTGCTTGTCTATTGTACTGAGAAGCCATTAATAACTGTAAATTTTGACCCAAACATCTATTTTTGATGGCAGCAAGTAGTTTCAGAATTTTTGAATCTTTTAAAGGAGAAGAGAAAACAGTATGTGTTCATGGACTGCAGCAGAGTCAGACATGGTAGTGAAGAATCGGTTGGTAGGGTTCCTACTATGGCAGTCGATTCTAAGTAGCTTGATTTTCTTGGTCTTCACGACAATGATCGTTACTTGGCACTCCCCCACAGCAATCTTCACTTCCTTTTTCAGCTTTCATCTCTCCCAGCTGCTGTTCTCTGTCTCCCTTTCAACTGTCTTATCTCCCCAGCCTAAATGTAGTAGTTTGCCGATGTTGCTGGCAGCTGCAGCAGTTTCGGGCTTTGTCTTTGCAGTGTCTTTTTGTGGGTTCAATGGAAGAGTAGGATTTAAAGGTTTTGCTTCAGGGTTGTTCTATGCCTTTTTTTATGGTTATAAGCGAAGATGGGTATTGCAGTTTCCCATCATTCAGGTGAATTAATATTGTCGGTCTTTCTTTTTTTTTTTTTAAATATCTTTTAAATCTGCTTTATGATTTGGGTTGCTTTCTCCTTTCAACAGCGTTCCCATTTCTTTAGCTTCAAGATGGGGATCCCTTCTGCAACTACACACGCATTAAAGCTTTCGGCTGCAGCATATCTATTTTCAGCTCTGCTGTTGGCATTTATGCCACACCATTTTAACACTGATCTCAAGCTAGGAAACTTTTTTGCTTATCATATAATCTCTTATGCCGTCAGCTTTTTTATGTTTCTCTGTTGGGAATTAACTCACCATTTACATCAGGTTGGTTCAAAACATATAAAACTGTTGTCATTTCTAACATATACTGTACACAAATATTGGGATTAAAGTTAAATTTGTGGCTGGTTTATGTTGAATGTTGAAATTTGTGACTGTAATTCAATTTTATCGAATTTTGCCCATATGCTTTAATTTTGTTGATTTTTGGACAAAAAGGTAAAGGAGTTCAAGGAAATTTATCACATGCATTAATGGGAGTATTTTGTGGAATATTCAGATTTTGTTATTTTGTCCAAAAATCAACAAAATTGAAAGTTTAGTGTCAAAATTCAATAAAATCGAATTATAGCGACATAATTCAACATTGAATGGTAATGGTAAATTTGACCTTAATCCCAAAAACATTTTTAGTTTAATTATAGTCCCTGCTTTACTACTGCTTTATTTGAATTAATAGATTAAATTCATTGGATGTTAAATGTTTTTCAATGTGGTGCAAGCTTTTAGGTAGTACGTGCTTATCTTCATGTTGAATGCAACTTAATATGTCTTGTTTTTTTGTTACTTGCTTTTTACTTTTTGCTTTTCGTTTTTTGAAATTGCTGACATGAAAAAATGCAAATAGGAGAAAGAAAAATCATATTTGATTAAGAATGAAAAATAGATATTTTGAGAGAAGGGGTACATTGATATTTCTGTCAGCTCCTACCATCCGTAGTCCTATAAGAATTAAAACCAAGATGATCTTCTTGGTTACTTGCTTTCTTAGTACACAGAGAACATACTCATTCACATTCACAGATGTTCCTTAATAGACATCTTTCTTTTCAAATATATTCACGTTTTCATATAGGTGCTACATACAAAAAGGTTCATATTTGCACCACCAAAAGGATCAGCAGCAGCAGAAACAAATCCAAGTGAGCCTCTCCTAGCTGCGTTAGAGGAGAGCTCTCCAACTTCTCTTCTGAAATATCTTGCATACCTTGATCTATGTATGGTTTGTGAGAATAATGTTGATTACTGGCGTCGAGCTGCCTTCTTTGAAGAAACTGGTGAGACTTACAGAAGAGTTGCAGCTGTATGCATGAGACCTTTGGAGCAGCTTGCATCAAAGTTGGTCCAAGGTTTGGAAGGTTCTCTGGATGATAAAGCCTACCGAATATCTGACCAGTTGCAGTCATCAACTAATCCACGATTGAATTCAAAATGCTACGAACTAATGAATGACTTCCAGGTATGACAACTGTTTTCTAGAGGTGTGTACGCATGCATTCCTTATCAATAGTCTAGATGCAGCATCATTACACCTGGAAGATAGAGTCCAAACTAATTGGGAAAATCTTTTAGGATTATAACTCCAATTATGAAAACAGGGAAAAACACTTTAGTCTATAAGATTTTCTTGAAATTGTAAGTTTCAACCTTCAAAAGCTACCCTCAGTAGTTTAACATGAGCTTATTGGTATGAGCTCAACCTTGATTTTAGCTACATAAAAATAATGAAGCCCTTGTAAAAGTATAAAGTTCAAATGGAAAGCAAGCCCAAAAATATGGAATCTAGTTTTTTAAATCTATCTAAAATATGTGCCTTAAGCTTATGGTAGGGTGGTCTTCAGATCTGTCTATTTGTGTAATTTGCTTTTACTAAAATTTTTTTTTTTTTTGAGTTTGGATCACATTTTAGACAAATAAAGGGCGCTTTTATCACTATATATTTGGTAATAATTGCAAGAAGGCAATGAAGTGCAACTTTTTATGAATGATTATTTTTCTTTTGCAGTAATTACTGGCATTTTTCGTCATTTATGTGGTATATTTCACATTTAAAGAGCAGGTTGAACTTTCTAAGATAAATTGTTAACAAGATCAAGGATAACAATTTGGCTTGAACCAACACATCTTCCACTTGCTTTCCCCTCCTGTCCCTATTTATTTGACTTGTTAAGAGTGTAACCTCACTGTAGGTATGATCCTATTGTTTCTGAATGAATAAATGATCCTAGTCACTTTGAAAATCATACAGGTGTGAGGATCATATGATCAAACTGAAATTGGATGCTAATAGAACAAGACCACCAATTGTATAGAGCAACTTTGGCTTTTAAATTGAACCACTAAACTATTAGGCATAGTGGAAATTTAATTGTTACTGACAAATACAAGTCTTTCTGCATGACTAGATAAGTAACCTAATGTGATGAAGAAAACATATATTTTTTGGCTGGGATTATGGCAGATTATCAATTTTATGGTGTTAAGTTTGCAATAATTAGTTTTTTGGAAGTTCCAAGTTGCGAGCTATATGCGTAGAAATTTTATAGAGTACTATTTTCAGGAGAGCCATGTATAGTGTGTGATCTGAATAGGACGTCAGGTTTCATAATCTTAGTAGTATTTGGGGAAGGCATTTGAATGCTGCTGATGTTAATAATATGGTTAGAAAAACAAGCACTAGTGCTGCAGGATGGCGATGGAATGGAACGGAAAAGTTTGCTATTATTATAAAGCTTTAAAATTAAAACTATAGTTTATAGATATTAATTTAAAAAAATGAGATATTACTGATCTTAATAAAAATAATGAATATTTATGATTTCTATTATATAAAACTAAGAATGAGATTAAATCATTTGGGTTTTTGTTAGGCTTTGTTTGGTTAGTGCTTTTAATATTTGCTTTTTGGAAGCAAAAATATAAAAGCATGTTTGGATACAAAAACAAAGAAAAATTTTGATGGATACACAAAATATATTGTACTTTTAGATGATAGAATTGGAATGCGTGATTTTACTTCTATATAGACTAATTTTAAATTTGAGGTTACATTTTAGGTATTTGTCCTTTAAATCAATTATAATATTGCTTTTTACTATTTGCTTTTGCTTTAAAACAATTACTTAAAAAGCAAAATGCGAAAAGTAAATAGTAAAACACCAATAAAAAAGGTGAATTGAGAAGTTAGTTTACAGATATTATGGATTTCAATACTCGGTTTATTTGTACTATTGGGTTCAATATTTTGGTTTATTTATAATTAATATTTCTTTTTTAATAATCTAAGTATCCAGTTTATTTCAATTATAAAGAGGGGATGGCAAAGCCTTTGGTGGCTGAAAGGAAGGAAAGGAGATGTTCTTTTGGCCAAGGGTAAAATGGGGAATTTACTGTTACAGTAATAGTGACTATATACACACCTTTAATAATATTTTTAATTGTCAGTGAAAGATGAACTGCGTTATATCCCCCTCTCCCACAAACACTCTTCAAATGACGTTTCAGTCCCTGCCCTCAATCCCCAAACTGGGAGGGATTCCGCTGTCTGTTGCCAAAGATACTTTTGCAGGTTATAAATTACTAAATTTTTATTTTCTTTCTGGAAAATAGAACTAAAATAGTTACATTTCCACATGTACCACAATCACTAACCTAATCTAATAGTATTTGACACTAATTTAAGTAACATGCAGTAATAAAATAATTATACAAATATAAATATACTAAAAGAATTGCAACCTTGTTGCAGAAGGGAGGGGACTGTCTAATCCCTGATCCTGTCCCTACTTGAGATAAATTGATCCCCAAACGACATGGTTGGGTTAGGAAGGTATTCTCCTCATCAGGGACATGGCAATCTTATATCCTTAGTGGTGTAGGTAGTTGGTTACAAAAATGACTTTGCTTTGTAGGTTTATTTGCTAGCAGTAATTGCTTTTATTATTGGTCTGCTTGGGCACTTTGTTTCAATGTGGTTGCTTGCTGATCATATATAACCTATTATGTATCAAGACACATTGAAGTGAGTGGAACATAGTTTTTGAGGCTAATTGTGCTCCTCCAAGGTTGGATTTTACCGTTTCAAGCTATATTGGATTTTTTCTCTAGCAAGAAAAGTCATATGCATAAATGGGGAGTGCTTAGTTCTTTTATTGCTTTTGTCTAGGGAGGTTTGAGCATGTGTAGATCAGGTTGTGGCATTGGTGAGCTATTTATATTATATTTATCAAGCCAAATTTAATAATCTTTTGGTGTCACCATTTTACAGCTATATACATGGTCTGCTCGAGCAATTGCTTCCTTGACTGCACACTCACGTAAAGAAGACAGATTTGGAGTTGCTCAACTCTCTGGTAGCAATGCTGCTGTTATGTCAATGCTTCTTGGTTGCCTGCTTGCTGTTGAAACGTTGATGGGGAAAAAATCAGGTTTGCAACCTTCTCATCATTCGATGGGGTCATTTGGTATTAAATTGGCTACATTCAGTACTGGAAGAAGAGATGCTAGAACAGGGAAAAGGAGGGACGACCCACTATATTCAAAAGCATACGCCATGGCTGATGTCTTAAGGACTTCAATTTACTGCATTGTGTCTGCTTTCCACCGTGAGATGCTGACTAGTGCCAAAGCTGGCCTTCTTGAAAAGGACTGGATTACTGGTGGCAAACCTTCTTTTGGAACTCGCGAGTTGCTGTTGCAGAAATTGCATCTTTTCCTTGACTTTCAGGCTAGCTAAATTATGATAAAAAAGAAAAGGAAAAAACAGGTAGAAAATGGTAAAGCTGCAGAAGATGACTGCTGGCTTTTCTCCGATTTGGGCACGTCCCTTTCCTGCTGCTTTCCTCAAGCGCAAATCAGCGGTTCTGGAAATTAACCAAATGTGAGAATGAGAATATGGGCTTTCCATTATTATTTAAAAGAAAACCTAAGTTCTTGCTAAATTATGATATGATCGATATGATCAACTGTCGCACATGAATTAATTGAGCTATTTAGTTACGAAGTTTGGCCATTCAATCTTTTAGATTAGTCTCAGTTCAGATACGGTTGAGCAACCTTGAGAAAGGTGTAGTCATAACTGTGAAAACCTGGAAAAGTGGCATGATAGAGTTTGACACCAATACATTGAGGAGGAAACAAAAAGAAAAAAAAAATGATAATAATAAATTTAACCCCTTGACCAGATAATCGGAAGCACGCGAAGCAAAATTTAAAGGTAGAATAAATCAATGACTACATACGGATATTGTTGGAAAGGTGTTGAAGTAAATTCATAGTTGCTGAACTTTCATCATTTTTAGATCACTAAATTTTACTTCTTCTCATTCAAATCATTTAAATTTGTTAGAATTTATATCTCAATTTGTTAAATGGAGTAATAAATATCTCAATTCTTGTCACTTAACAAATTTGATGAAAAAAACTAACGGCAAAATAATTCTCGTATTTTAAATTTGTTAAATGGAATAATAAATATCTCAATTCTAGCCGCTTAAAAAATTTGATAAAAAAAAATAATAATAATGGAACTATGATTCTCATAATTTTTATTTTCTTCCTCTCCATTCCCCTCTTGCCTATCTCTTCGATTTTCGTTGCTCTGTGCCTGACTCCAGACCCTTAAAAACAATAGTTTCTTTTTTTTTTTTTTTCTTTTTCCCGAAATTTTTTCGCATCATTTTGCTCCAAGGCAAAGCCCAGGTTTACGAAGTGGTGGATTCATGCAATTCAATCCCAAATCCCATTAATCAAAACTTCTTCCCACCTGTACTAAACTACTGCCATCTCTTTAATTTTTCTCTACTACTAATTATCTCTTTTGTTCATTCTGATCTCTAAAAGAATACCCAAAAAAAAAAAAAAAAAACCCAAGTTGTCTTTTAATTCTTTAGGTTTGCGTAGATTTGTAATTGTTTTAAGGTTGAAAATATATATAATAAAAATTATTGATAAAATAAAATAATAATTATTTTATATCATATTCAATTTATATTTAAAAAGAGATATGAATAGTAAAAAAATTAATATTTTTTTATATAAAATTATTTAATTTTTTTTAAATAAAAAAATAATTTTTAATTTACAAAATTAAATTTATATATATAATTATATAGTTAAAATTATATTAATAATTTTAATTATATATATTTTATAAAAATAATTTTTATAAATAAATTATTTTATTTTAATTTTTATGTACATCATACATAAAATAAAATAATATTATTTAATTTATTTTTATTTATAATATTATATTATTTTATATTATTATAATCTTATCTACCAAGATAAAAGTCATTGCTCAATAAGTCATTACTTGTGATAATCATGGAATGGATTTCATAAGGAACTTAAAACTATACAAATTACTATAAGAAAATGTTGGAGTTGGTTAACTACAAAGAAGTGAAAGAATATAAATGAGGCGAACAATGATTTAATAGTCAATTTAATTTTATATATTCTAAAAAGAGGTTTATATCCAAAAAAGAAGTGAATTATAAAAAAAGAAAAAAAAAAGTTACTTGACTTTACCCTATATGTCTTTTGAAATTGGTTCGCCCTCCTTATCCCTTCAAATCACCAATCTAAACTTGACCAACTTCCCACCACTCCTACTATTCACTTTTTTCACTCCAAATTTCCTCAGATCCTTCTAACTCCGGTTGATCGAAGAATTAGAGGAGAACAAAAAAACAACACGATTTAGGCGTTGACCCCCTTTTCATCGAAGCTTTTATCTAGATCTGATCGTTTACAGATCTTGCACAAAAGAGGTCCTCTTCCAGCTTAATGCTTAGTTTTGTTTAAAAAAATTTGGACAATTAGGTTCATTTGGAATTTGTGATATCGACAAAGGGAGAGCAGACTAATTTATAAACAAAAAAAAAAGAAAAAAAAAGTAGACTGTAGAGGTAGGAAAAGAAAAGGATCGGGTAGGTTTGTTAATTATGTATTGGTGTATGTAAAATATTTACGTACTTACCTCTCTAAAAAAATCGTACTTTCAAAGGCATTTATCCTTCGGACTAGAATGAACAGCTTGAATTAAACTCCAAAATTTAATGGGCTTTTCTTGTCTAAACAAACCCAGCTAATAAGATAAATTTCTACGGCAGTATGGGCTTTTTGAGGGAAAGATATTTGGGGCTCTTTTTCAGTTCCTATCTTCCCTTTTTCTCACAATTATTTTTTTTTTAAATGTTCTATGCTCTCCGGTTTCAAGAGTAAGTTTTCATGCTTTTTGCTCGTTCTGAAATTTGAAATCATAATTAGAAATGTTGATGGTATTATTGGTCTCTTAATTGGAAGGGAATGGTGTGAGGTTGTTGAAGGTTATATGACCCAAATTCGCAATCAAAAAATATATTTGGGGTGTCGAAATTTCTCTGGGACGCACTCCAATGTTCTAGTTAATAAAATATATGAGAAAGGGTTTGGAAGGAAGTGAGGTGTGTGAAAGAAGCTACAATGGAGGGAAATTACTTAAGTGTGAAGTATTTATATTATCTTACGTATTTGAGCTTTTTCATTACCTTATATATGAGATAATGAGTGGTGACTTGATTATAACAGTTGACAGTTGATGAGAAGTATACATAAAGCTTAAGAAAGGTCTACAATGATGGCTACGAGTTGCATTTAATGTTCCCAAGTAGACGTGGGCTGCATTTGATGATCTTAGGCAAGTTGGAAGCCAAATGTTCAGTTCTGATATGATGTCTTGTTGGGATGTTAGTAGGGATATTGGGTGAGTCCTCTTGGTAAGGGAAGCCGTTTCTTTAAGTATGAATGACATGATAGCTTAGGCATGCACTGTCTAGGCAACCCAGGGGATGTTAACCAAGGGTTGACTAAGTAAATGGGCGTAACAATTGCCCTGTAGGTTTAAGAGGATGATAAACCTCAAACAGTTGTCCAAAGTTTGGAGAAAAAATGCTTTGACAAGGAAGCAATTTTGGCTTGGCAAGCTAATTGTAGTGACATGACCTTTTAAGGTGAAAGGAACATCATTGGTAAGCAGTCATTGCTGGGCATCCCTATGGGGCAAGATGTATGCCTTTGGCAAGCTTGGTTGATAACGTGCCACTTTGGGTGGAATGGAATATGGCTTGGTGAGCTATGCAATTGGGTAAGTCACAGGGAGTAGTAGGTAGGGACTTAGGAAAATTTTGTATGAAATACTATGATTTGCTATAGAGTGTGCATGAGTGAAGTGCGTCAATTGGGGCAATGCATAGCATATGTTTGTGTTTTTGGATGGTGTGACTGTTTAGTACACGTGTTGCATTTGTATTGAGGGATAATCAACTATAATTAATGGTGAGGATTTTTTGAAAATGAATCCATTTTAAAAGGGAATGAATGTGTTTATTTTTGAAAAGGACTAATTGAAAGGTTAGGTTTTAAGGGAGGTTAATTTGGACCGTTCATGAATCAATTAAAATGGTTCAAAGATGTGTCATTAAATGCTTGAAACGGTCTTAATAGGCACTATTTCAATGGTGTTGTTTAGCCGAGTATAAATAAAACACTTAGGATTTTCAAACCTCACTTCTACTATTGGCTTTCAAGAAAAGATTTTTGTTGTTTATGTGTGTGTTTACTGCTTTTCATATTCTTCAACTTTCTGTAAAAACTTTCGATATGGTAAGAAAATATTTTGTTTATTTTGTGTTTTTTGTTAAGTGCTTCAAAAAAGAGAGGAAATAGCACCGAAAAAGAGGATAGTTATTTCTGGTGATGATGAGGAGGTAAAGGCATCGGCCACCAATACTGGTGGTCATGATAGGAGGGTAGGTGATAAAGGGGCTCGAAAGAAGGGAAAAAAGGCTCAAGAAAGGGGCATGATTGTTGCTTTTTGTATAGCCTACAAATGCACAGATCAAATAATAAAATGGAAGTATTCCGGTATCATATCCCAAAGGATTATAGATTGTAATTTTTAGGTAACTTTCAAGTATTAAAGGTAAAGTTTTAAAATTTTACATCTAAACAAGTGAAACTTTAGGATTGAATGTGAAATAAATGAAGAAAAAGTAATGTAAGCTTAGTTCTCACTTATCCAATTGTCACTTGGTAAGCTAGATAACAGCTAAAACAAAATCTAAAGAAATAATAATTGCAAACTTGAAAATAATCAAAGCTTGAGATTGCCAAAAGTAAAAAAAAAAAAAAAAAAAGAAAAAAACTAATGGGAACAAAATTTGTAACATGAAACTTAAAAGCTTGTAGGATAAGAAGTGTGGCCAAAACTAATCTTACATAAAAGAAAATTTAAAGAGTAATGATTGCATGAAATTAAATAGATTAGGAGAAAAAAAAATGAATCTCAAAAACTTGTAAGTAGAAAAACAAGAATTGAAGCCAAAAGTAATGAAAAAAAAAAAGAGATCTTGAAAAATAAATACTTCTTGAATTAAAGAAACAAATTTTTGTTATGGCAAATTCGTCACCTAAGTTAATAACTAAGAAAAGAAAAATAGAAGAACAAAATAGAAGAATGAGATGATGAAATAAATGAGAATGGCTTCCTTATTTATAGAGGGGGTTTGGCCATAGGGGATAAGTTTACAAGAATTTAATTTTAAATCAAATGCTAAGAGATGAAGGCTATCTTGATCTTTAAAGTTCTTTAACTGAATGAGACTTTTGCTTCTTGAAGAGGTGTAGCCAAATAAGTGTCTTGGAAAGCAATTTTGGCCATGTGATCTTTGCTTGATATAATCTTGATTCAAGACTCCTTGGTAGATTTAGCTAAGCCGTGGATTACAAGATAATGTATTTGAATTTCATCTAATCTCTTGTAATTTAAATGACTAAAATCCTTCTTCATATGTGACTCTTCAAAGAGTAAGCAAAAGAGTCTTTGTGCTTTACAAACACTTTTAGCTGAATGCACTTAGTGTCTTTGTTGGCTTGAAATTGCATGAAGTCTTCTTGGATTTTGTCTTAGCTAAATGGATATGGGAGATATGAGTCCTTGTGCTTATTAAATTCTTTAAGCGAGCT